TAGATAGTATATAGTACTAGTAATAATCAATCCTAAAATGTAACCATAAATTTGTACTATATCAAATTAAGGCTAATGAAAACCAACTGGCATTGTCGCCAAAGTTCAAAAAAAAAAAAAAAAAAAAAGTAAAAAATCAGTTTTAATATTCAAAGATTTCTTCTTTTCAAAAGACATATAAAATACAATCTGATAATGATGGTTGGTTATTTTTGGCTATGTAAATGCAATTATCAGTCTATTGAAAAGATGACAGGACATTTACCAAATATAGTAACTAATTATATAAAATTCTATCAAGACTTAGTTATTGATACTTTAAAAGATTATAAAAACAAAATCAGTGATAAAGGAATTGTTGTTAAAGTTGATGAATATAAATTTGGTAGAAGAAAATACTATCATGGTAGAGTTGTTGATGGTGTATAGATTATAGGTAGTATTGAAAGAACAGAAGAAAAACAATGTTTCTTGATAAAAGTAGAGAAACATGATAAAGAAACAATTAAAGATATTTTAGATAAATATGTTAAAAAAGGTTCTATAGTTCATACAAATTGTTGGAAAGGTTATCTTAATATTGAAGAATCAGGTTTCAAACATAAAACTGTTAATCATTCAGAAAATTTTGTAGATTCTAAAACAGGTGCACATATGAATACTATAGAAGAATTCTGGAATGGTATCAAGTTACAAATTGCTCTATGAAATCAAAATAAAGATTTGATTGATGCATACTTATTTGAATTTATATGGTGTAAAGTAAACAAAGATTGCCTCTGAGATGCATTTATCAAAGCATTACATTCCACAGCATATTACTAATCTGAAGATATCACATTGTGACTATTGGATATAATAGTACATGCTAAACTATAGTTCAGCCAAATAAAGATGCTTACTTATTTTTATTATTTTGGATCATTAATATTAGCTTGTCTACATAATTAAAAACTTCAAATCTATATAAAGAATAAAATTATATAAATTAGAGCCTATCATTTATTTAGTATAATTGGATATCATAAAATCTATAGAACAATAAGATTAAAGCCTAAATATATATATTATTTAAATAAGAAATACTTTAAACAGTTATTATAACAATTTTTTTAAATCAAAATATCTTTATACTTAGTATAGTTAATATTTTTATCTTTTATTTCTTAGACCAATAGCATAACTTGAAGTCTTTAAACATACTTTTTTGAAATATTGCTATTTTGAATTTTGAATTGTAGACTAAGAATATTGCTATGATTTATATCATGTACTGTGTGTTTAATTGTTTATTTGCTTTCTATTATTATAATTCATGTTTTGTTTTATTGAACCAGTTTTTATTCTTATATCTTTGAATCAGAGTTATTATAACTTCTCATAAAATAACTATCATCAATTTAGTAGCATTTACTTCTTATAGCCACACAGCATTAGCATTAGATAACAATACTATTACCCAAATTGGCTTTATTTATAGCAATAGTATAGTCACAACTTTGGTATAATTACAATCATGTGATATTATATCAATCTTTTAGAATAAAAAGATTATTAGTTTTGCAGTTATAATCAGTTTCATTAAATTTAAAGGCTGAAGTTTTTATGAAAAAACTATATCAAAATTTTCAAAATGTTCTTATCATCACTTCTTTAAAGATAGCAAAATAACTTATTGGAATTTGTACAATTTTTTACTCTATAAAATCAAACAATGGAACTTTAAGATCGATTCTTAGTTGGAAAGCAGTTATTATCTAAGTTTTTTAGAATATTTTAAAAATGAGTACCGTGAAAAAAGCAAATTTCTTATAAAGCAATATAAGGTAATAAAAGCTTGTACTGATATTTTTAAAATAGTTTTAATATTCATACTAATTCAAAATTTTAAGTATTATAGTATTGCATATCATCAACAAAAATAAAAGTCTAGTAAAATATTATTTCTGAAAATGATGTAAAAGAACTTCAATTAGTTCTTGATATAGCATTAAACTTGAAAGACAATTATTGTCAAATTGAATGCTAAAGGTATCTAGTGTTGAAGGCAGTAGGTTAATGTTTTTTTTGGTTTTATAATAGAGGCAAGGAAAATGCGATGGATTGTCACTCGAAAATACCAAACGTCATGAAACGTTGCACCACGAAAGAGGTGGAATGATTTGGCAAGGCTAAGGCATGAGTGCAAGGTCTCAGTTTATTGCTAATGACAGTTTTTTATTATTAATATGATTGTTGACTCTCTCTTAATTCTCTCTCAAAAAAAAAACACTTATATACAAGAATGGCACTCCACAAAAAGAGATGGCACAGGGGCCCAAGATCCAATATTTTCCTACTGAACTCAACAGTTTCAGATCCATCATTATAATCGGGATCTTGAATGGCCTCATGTGGCACAAACAACTAGCCCAATCTGGCAGATCTCTTCTAACAAATGGCTATAGTACCTGATTCTGCATCATTATGGCATTGTTTCAGATGGGTGGCTTGGCTTCCAAGTTTCTCGAGGTACAATCGATGCACAATCGTTTGCTTGTTTCAGGGATGTTCTTACTATTAGTTTTGCAGTTATAATCAGTTTCATTAAATTTAAAGGCTGAAGTTTTTATGAAAAAACTATATCAAAATTTTCAAAATGTTCTTATCATCACTTCTTTAAAGATAGCAAAATAACTTATTGGAATTTGTACAATTTTTTACTCTATAAAATCAAACAATGGAACTTTAAGATCGATTCTTAGTTGGAAAGCAGTTATTATCTAAGTTTTTTAGAATATTTTAAAAATGAGTACCGTGAAAAAAGCAAATTTCTTATAAAGCAATATAAGGTAATAAAAGCTTGTACTGATATTTTTAAAATAGTTTTAATATTCATACTAATTCAAAATTTTAAGTATTATAGTATTGCATATCATCAACAAAAATAAAAGTCTAGTAAAATATTATTTCTGAAAATGATGTAAAAGAACTTCAATTAGTTCTTGATATAGCATTAAACTTGAAAGACAATTATTGTCAAATTGAATGCTAAAGGTATCTAGTGTTGAAGGCAGTAGGTTAATGTTTTTTTTGGTTTTATAATAGAGGCAAGGAAAATGCGATGGATTGTCACTCGAAAATACCAAACGTCATGAAACGTTGCACCACGAAAGAGGTGGAATGATTTGGCAAGGCTAAGGCATGAGTGCAAGGTCTCAGTTTATTGCTAATGACAGTTTTTTATTATTAATATGATTGTTGACTCTCTCTTAATTCTCTCTCAAAAAAAAAACACTTATATACAAGAATGGCACTCCACAAAAAGAGATGGCACAGGGGCCCAAGATCCAATATTTTCCTACTGAACTCAACAGTTTCAGATCCATCATTATAATCGGGATCTTGAATGGCCTCATGTGGCACAAACAACTAGCCCAATCTGGCAGATCTCTTCTAACAAATGGCTATAGTACCTGATTCTGCATCATTATGGCATTGTTTCAGATGGGTGGCTTGGCTTCCAAGTTTCTCGAGGTACAATCGATGCACAATCGTTTGCTTGTTTCAGGGATGTTCTTACTATAAGGGGGCATGGGTCAGGGCAGCACTGAGTTAACACTAGTAAATATCACTTGTTATTTATTATGCAGATAATTTATATTTTATTTTTAAATAGGTTAAGAAGGTTCTATTATCAAACTGAAAGGATCTTTATGAGTTGTTTATAGATTAAATAAATTCAATAGATGATGATAATGTTAAATATTTTGAGTAAATAAATTTATTGTTTGATATTGAATGCTTATATATTTATTAATATATATTAACTTCTATATTTTTAACTCTATTAAAAGTAGCATCATTTGCATTTACAATCGTGACTCTTGGCTAAAAAAAAAATTATCCAAAAAGAATTTGGACTGTCTGTCAGAAAGATTATCATTTACCATCAATTATCTTAATAATTCATATATTAAGAGTTATATTGATGATATTTTAGCTTAGTATATAGACTTGAACACTGCATCACTGCAAATCAATTCAAAGATATCAGAAATTTCTTCAGATTGTAGCTTTAGAGCAAAAATACAATATAAATATATCAAACTATATTGAATCATATGTAAGTAAAAAGCTAGTATTTATTAGATACTATATATAATATAAACTAATATAAAATTACTTTAACAGAAAGCAGTCAATTTGAATGAATTCTTATAAAGCAGATAGAATTAGTGAACAACAATATACAGCTAATACAATATATAGCTTTATTTTCAAATTATTAATGTATATTAATAATAAACTTTATATATTTTTGTGAGTATAAATTTAAAATTTTATTAATTTATATTATTTTTAATTAATTTTATAATCAATTTATAATTTTAGCAGAGAAATAACCTTAGATAAATCTTTAAAGAGAAAACAAATCTATAAATTACTTGGGTTAAATAAGAGAAAAAGTATAATTGGTTATTGTTGTGATTTACTTTTGTGTGACCATTATGACTATGTACATTTGGTTGGTAAAATAAGTGGGCCACCTTCAAAAACCCTTTCCAACAAGGAAAGATTTAATTTTGGAAGCAATGCCAAGGATGAGAGAAGTCTTTGTGAATTAACTATAATGGCAGAATTTGGACCAATTCTGAATGAATCAGACTTAAATACTTTATTAAACAAAATATTTGTATTTATGATTCAAGTAAAAAGTATGTATTTTCATATTTGAGAAGTTTATAACAATTATTAATTAACATTAAATATAGAAAAACAATTAAAACATCCATACTAGATCATAAAATGAATAAAGTCTATTATTCAAGACTCTTAAATAGAGCAGAAATTCCCTTAAAGGGAAAAAACATTGATAAAGTTGGCTTTTTACAATTTTTATTTACTATTTATAAGCTGATTGTAATAAACATAACATCTTAATCAATTGGAATATTTTACCAATCTATACAAATTATTTTGTATAAATCTCTATTGCCAAAAATTTTAACAAATTAAAAAAATTAATAAATGAACTTTTAAGAAAAAAGCAAAATGGATAGCCAAAAATGTTAATGTTGATTTTAATACCTTGGAAATAAGTGAAGCTCCCAAAAAACTTGTGCTTTCACAAACTATTACTAAATCAACTCTGTCATCATCATCATCAAGTGATAATTTTACTGGTTTTCCAAAAGAATCAATAATTAACCTACTGGATTTTTTTCTAACTCCAGTAAGGCCCAAGGAAACCTTAAGAGAAATGAATTCTTTATTCCCAAATGAACAAGTTTTTGTCATAAATAATGCTATTCTTCTTACTCCGAAACATATGCCAATTAGCACTAATAATGACGATTTAATTCTTGATATTCAAATTTAAAAAAATTGTATTATTATAAGCACTGTTGATCTGGATAATCTATTATTACTAATTGATTTGAAGCATTAACAGCCCAGATTATAATGAGAAGTCAATAAGTTTCAGGTTCATGGTACAAATTGTCATGGAAAGCATTGTTAGCTTGGATGTTTGTTTTTGGATGAAAGCATTAGCAACCTGGTTTATGATATAAGTATTAACTACTTAAAATCTTAAACTAAAATGTAAATAAAAAAAACCATCTGAATTGTATTTTAATAATGTGCATTTTTTATTTGAAGCATTTTTGAGAGCATTTGATTAAAATTTAAACTTTGAATTACACTAAATTAGATCAAATTATTGTTAATGATGCAAGTCTTCAGCAAGATTCTATTAATATAAAAAGCATTGTATAATTGAAGTACTGTATATTCTTGAATTTATGCATTTTAATGTAAAAAAAATATTAAAGTAGTTAGATTATTCCAAAGCAATGATTATATGATCTAACAGATCCATAGGCCCACAAAATCATGTGATATAAACTTGTTGGCAAATTTCCAAATGCTAATAATAGTTTTCTTTATAATAAAGCTACAAATATAAAATATAAATAGAAATTTAATCAAATAGAACCTGTTATTAACTTATGTTATATAATAAGTAATAAAATTTATATCTTTTTCTAAATTCATATCTTTTTCTAAATTCACAATTTTTATATCTTTTGATTTCAATTTTGATTTTCATTTGGTTTACTTAATTATTCAAATTCTCATTATCTATTTCTATTTGTTCAGAATTATCTGTCAATTGAGTTATTTCATTTTCCAACTTGATAATTTTTTTAATCTAATTAATTAAAAATATTAAAAATATTGAAATAAATTCTTGTAATATAAAAAATATTAACCTTTTAATTTTTTCATCATATTTATTTTTTTTACTTTCAAATGCTTGCTTTAAATCATGTTCCCTTATTATCATGTCAAACTCATTTAAATTTTTAAGATATTCTATCTATTTTTTATACTCTCTGATTATGTTGTTTATAAAGCCATGAATCTCCTCTGATATATTTCTTCTTTTTTGTCATTGCATAAAACTAATATAAGCATAAACATTTTTAATCAAACCAGATATATAGTTTTTTTTCTTTTAATAGCTTTACTTGTTTTTTTCTTAACAATTTTACAAGTGTAAACATCTTTAATCAAACCAGGTATACTGTCTTTTTTTTTTAGTAGCTTTACTTGTTTTTCTCTTAATGATTTTACTTTTTTTGCAAACCATTTTATTTTTACTACTTAAATTTCATTTAATTAGTTTAAATATTTTTATCACTGCGGTGATAAATAAAAATTATTGTGATATTTGAATTTTATTTTCTTACTTAGAAAGTACCAGATACTGAGACAAATTCATCCTTTATCATAACTAACATTCCATCACTGGTAGTGATGGGCAATGCACGGGATCTGTGCGGGATTTTTAATATGAAATTATTCAGCCCACATTAGCTTTTCATCTGGCCTACATTACATCTAATCCGGCCTGCATTAACATAATCAGGCCAATTCCTAATTTGTTATTAATGTACATATGCACGCATTTCTCTGTAGAACCTTTTATTTATTTATCATTCCACATAGAAAATTTAATTTCTTAAACTGTTAATATTAATAATGTAAAGAATCTAAAATTTTTAATTTTTTATATAAAAGTAATGCACCAAAAATATATTTATTATTCGTGAGAAATTAAAAAACTCTATCCTATCCTACGGATCACGCGCGGATCTCACGTGTGATCCTGCGTGGCTGCACAGAATTTTAAAAAAACCATGATTTGCCCATCACTAATCACTGGTCTGAGAATGTTTAGTTACTTAGTTACAAATTTATCCAAAATTGTCTGAATTTAAATAATAAAGTATAAAGTATAAGTTAGTATCACATATAAAAAAATATAAAGAAAATAAAGTAATAATAACTTTCTTTTATATATGTTTAAGAACAAGGATATTGAGTGTAAAAAAGTAAAGCTTTTTGACATTCTTATAGAATTTATGCTAACTATAAGACAATTAATTTATATAAACTTATCTTAGATTTTGACTCATTTAAAACTAGTTTCATTAAAGTATATTTTTTTTGTTGAAATTAAATTAGAGTATTTTTTATATTATTGCCAAATTAGGCTTAAATGCAGAATTACAGTTTTAAAGTAGGCAGTTTTCATAAAATACTAGTAGCTATATAAATAATATATATAGTGTTGAAGGCTATATACTGGATGTATAATGCATATAATCCAGTTTTTATATTGGTGTTAAATTTGGTTTGAATATATAGCAATAGAGTTAAAAGTTTTTATAATATCAGAATTACAATAAGAGCTGCTTTAAAACTAGTTCATATTATACAAAAATTTGACATTGCATAATTTTAAAAGACAATCTTCTAGGTAATTGTCATGATCTCTATTGACAGTTCGAATTTTTGATCTTTTTTTAGAGCAGTTCTGAAGCTGAAAAGTTTATCTTATATGAGATTTCATCAAAGTTATCGATTATGCAGTTTATTTATTAAAAATTGTGCATTAACCTTTATGAAGTAAAATATGTGATTAGACACCAAAACACAAATGAAAAGTTTATCTTACAAATCTATTGACTAACCTCTTATGTAATTATCTTGACAAAATAAAACTTCATACTACATTGTTGAAATATATTATTGATATGCTTGAATTATTTTATTTTTAATATTATGCAAATCAATCAATATTAAATATTATTAAAAGATTTTGAAGTATAAAAGCCATGTGATAGAGCATTTCTGCAAACAAAATAAAATTTCATGTGATTCTAGCAGAAGATTATTAGTATTAAAAAGCTACTTAATTATACAAATCTGTATCAGACATAATCAAATAATAACTGTTTTCCAAAAAAATATGATAACATTTGTATTATGCAGTTAATGTTATATATTTAAGAAAAATGTTATAGATCTACAGGATTTACATTAATGTTAATAAATATTATATTAAAAATTTATATGTATTGCTAATCTAACTTAATAATTTTACTTGATTAAAAACCAGGCTAATATGGAAGTAAACATGATTTGAGATTATTAGTACAAACTGACTATCAAATTCATACAAACTAACAGTTAGCTTGTATAAATTTGACTGTTAGTTTGTATAAATTTGACTGTCAGTTTGGTATGCAAAACCTATATTATATATTTGGTTTTATGTTTAAAGAATATGTTTGTTACTATTTAAAATTTCAATTCAGTAACCATGTCTAAGAATAATTTTATAATTGAAAATTCAGAAAGAAAAATCATTTCTGTTTAATTTTAAAGAGCAAATTTTATGATAATATCATTAAGGTATATAAAGAATGGCTTATTAAATAAATATGCATAAAGATTTATTAATCTTATTTAACTAATTTAATAGTTCATATGTGCTTAGAGATTGTAATTGCCTAAGATTTTTCTTATATTTTAATCATTTAACCTTGTTAATTATTTAATTTGGTTTAGCTTTAAATAGAAAATAATAATTTCTGTTACTTTTTTTCTATTGAAACAGAGCATATTTGACTAAATTATATGATTATAAATAATTTAATCATGTGAAACTTTCAATATAGCAAAAGATCATCAGATATGATACATTATTTTATATAACAGCAAGGACAGTGCCCTTTATATAAAATGTCATTTAATATTACACAATTTATAAAAATTTTTTTTTATATTATTTTAAAGTACTTCGAATATTTTGTATTACTTGCTTGCATAATAAACTAAGCACCAATAGGTTATCAAGTAAACTTGAAGCCCTTGCACTGTAAAAAGCAAATATTGATTGAATCTATTTAAATCCAACAACCTTAAGTTTTTAATCAAAATGGCAAATGTTAAGAAATGTATAAAGCATTAAACGACTAGTTTCATAAAGTTTTGCTACTTAAGTGATAAAAAGCAAAAGTAAAGAGTTGGTAGAAGAATCATAGAGAGAAGATATTGCATTTTATATTGTTTGTTATATGAAATTTCTAGTTATACTAGCTATTTATAAATAGTAAATATTTAAAAAAACAGTTAAATAAAACAAAATATTTAGTATAAGCTTTGATCTTAAAGAAGCTTTATACAAGTTATTTAATTTTATTTTAATATCTCTTATACTATATAGGTGTTCAATAAATAGTACTATACAGAGTAGAGATTCAGATGGATATAGAAAAGTGATTCAGATAAACATATAAAAATTATATTAATTTTGGTTTGATTTTTTTTTTATAAACCATATATACCATTATAATCTTGGCATGTAGTATTCCTATGAACTGAACTGAACTGAACTTTTGGTCAAGTTTAAGTTCAGTTCAAAATTGAGCTGAACTTGAACTTGAACATTTGTTTAAAAAAAGTTCAGTTTAGGTTCAATATTGAACTTTTAAGTCAAGTTCAGGTTCAGTTCAGATTCACAGTTCAAAAGTTCATAAATGTGTTCAAGTTCAATAAATTATATATATATATATATTATATATTGTCAAGAATAATTCACTTTCAATAATAGGCTATTTTCTTTTTTTAAAAAAAATATAAAAACTTCTTAGATTTAAAAATAAGTTATCTATATAATTGTCAATAATTACTATGTAGTTAAGTCAAAATTTTACTATGTAAATCGATCTATTTTATTAAATAAAAGTTGTTCAGAAAATCAAAATACACATATTTTGAAAATATTATATAAATCCAATAACTGAATTTCTATTATTAACTCTTCTTGACGATTATTTGTACCAAATTTTCTCTAAACATAATTACTCTTTTCCTAATTTTTTATTAAGTAAATCTATTTTGGCTGCCTAAGTAAAATTGTTCTTAACAGAATTTTACATATAGGTGGCCCAGTTTTATATCCTCAAGGGCTTTTATTACTGGGATATAACTAAACTTTGTAATTTTCTTTTTTTGCAAAAATTC